GGTCCGCGCTGGGCGCCCGGGGAGCAGAGCCAGAGGTGGCCGGCTGCTCGTGGGAGTGGTGTGGCCGGTGTGGAACAGCTCCAGAAAAGGAATTTGACACTCTTGTAATAAGCAAATAACCACCCGCCAGCTGAGGCTCGGTGCTGTAGTTGGAGGGAGCTCCTGGGTCAGCCCGGGTCCTGGAAAAGGTCTGTGGCTGGGCTGGGATTGTCAGGACGTCTGGGTCCTAGAGGGTCGGTTTGATCAGGGCCTTGCTTTGCTGCCGGGGTCAGTCTGTGGCTGTTTTCAGGAGAGCGTGTTGGGAATCTCGGATCTGTGTTCTTTATTGCTTTTGGTCCATGTTCCAGAATGGAAATGAACTGTTCTGTGGAAATAGTGATAGATCCTGCAGTCATCTGTGTTGCCCAGCTGCTAGCCTGCATAAAAAATGGTTTTGGGTACATTTGGCAATCTTGCATGAATTTCCCCCCTAGAAAGAATTGCTTTGGGAAGATGCCAGGTCATCCTGAAGGCTGTGAGGGTTGAATCAGTGTTTCACTCCTCAGAATCTCTGCTGGTAACTTCAGGGAAATACCATTTTGCTTCCAATCAGAAGATTTGTCCTGCTCTAGCTAAAACTTCTCCTGGCAGAGCAGCTGTTGCTTGCTGTTCACAGAGATACTTGTCCTTGTGGGGTGGTGTGGTTGGTGTCACATCTCCTTGTCTGTCTTCAACTTCTCTGGGCAGCCCAACCCCATCTGGCGTCACACTGAAGTGATGCTGTGCAGAGGCACCTTCCCAGGGACACAGGATCCATGGAGTTTGTGGGAGATAAAGATTCTGGCTTCTTAGCAGATGATTTGTCCAGTTTCATACCAGGCTTTGTTTTATAAAGTCTGATGCCAATACCCTCTCTGGTTGTGTTTCCATGTTTACTCCTCTGTGAAGAGCTCAGGTGTAGGTGGTCCAGCAGCTCCACTGTGTTATGCAGCTTGTGGTTTTGATGGGCTCAGGGCTTGTGCCTGTGATGTAACAGCCCGTAGGTGGAGAGGCATGTGGTGGTGATATTTATACTGGTTGGTGTGTTTCTGCCAGGGCGGCTGGTTCTTGCTCATGGCAGCTCTCGAGCTGTTACAGACCTTTGTGTTCTTTCCCCAGTGGGAAGAAATCAGTGGTGTGGATGAGAATTACAAGCCGATACGCACGTACCAGGTCTGCAATGTGATGGAGCCAAACCAGAACAACTGGCTGCAGACGGGCTGGATTGCCAGGCGTGACGGCCAGAGGATCTTCATCGAGCTGAAGTTCACTCTGCGGGACTGCAACAGCATCCCTGGCATGACAGGCACCTGCAGGGAGACCTTTAATCTGTACTACATTGAGTCTGACTCCGACCTGGGCCGTAGTGTCCATGAGAGCAAGCACACCAAGATTGACACCATTGCAGCTGACGAGAGCTTCACGCAGGGGGACCTGGGGGAGCGTAAGATGAAGCTGAACACTGAGCTGAGGGAGATCGGGCACCTGAGCAAGAGAGGCTTCCACCTGGGCTTCCAGGACGTGGGTGCCTGTGTGGCACTGGTCTCTGTGCGGGTCTATTACAAGAAGTGCCTGGCCACAGTGCAGAACTTGGCCGTGTTCCCGGACACAGTGGCAGAAACAGCCTTCGCCACTTTGGTGGAAGTTAAGGGCACTTGTGTCGCTCACGCCGAGGTGGAGGTGGACAATCCCCCCAGGATGCACTGCAGCACAGAGGGCGAGTGGCTGGTCCCCATCGGGAAGTGCGCGTGTGGTCCCGGCTTTGAGGAGAAGGATGGGGGATGCAGAGGTAAAAGTGGCTGTGTCCTCTGGTGGTTTTTATCTGTGTCAGTCCATGTTGCTGCCAGACTGCTCTGGTCTGGCTGGTGCCTGAGCACAGCTCAGACAAGTGGAATTGCCTGTTGTCAGCAGTATGATTCTCTCAGCTGGTTGCAGCTCCCCAGCTCACAGCCAGACCGTGATGTGCAGGGTGGCAATGGGGTAAATGTGGCACGTTGCTGGGAGCTGCTCTGCAGCACAGCCTGGCTGGGCAGAAGTGCCAGAGCTCTGAGTGCCGTTAGGCGTCTCCCACAGCTTTATCTGTAGCTGTAAAATTACTCTAGAACATTAATATACCCATTGTCATGTAGACAGCTTAATAATTCTGTGACTTCACAGGTCACAAGGTTACGTTTAATGACAGCTGTAAAAATGGATATAACCTCTGCCTTAACGGGGATCGCCTCCAATGCACCTGGTGCTGTGATCACTTTGATCTCAATTTCAAAGGCAGGCGAGAGCCAGGCATGGGATCAGCCCTGAGAGTTTTCTTCAGTAAGATATGCCTGAAAACACCCTTCCCTGCCTGTGCCTGGTGTCCAGGTGTCCTCAGACCTCTGCCTTTGCCCCTAGTAGAAAACGGTTTGAGGAAATTGGCTAAATGAGTCCCAAACAGGTATAGTTCCTGTGTGCAGGCCGTGTGGTGCAGAAGGGGAGTGAGCTTTTCCAGGAGCTACTTGAGACTTTTCAGATCTAAATGGTACCAACTGTGCCTCCTTCCCCAGCATGTGGAAGCCTTTCCCAGCACTGTGGGCAGTGGCTCTTTGCTCACTGCCCTCCTTAAGGAGACCTTATTAAAACTATTGGGTTGAAATCTCAGTGCTGTGTGTTGCTTCAGTGGCTGCGTGGCAGCTGGCCATGCTTTCCCCATCTGTTTGGAGTGGGAATTTACATAGCGAGTCCCAGAAGGCTTTTCCTAATGTTTCAGGTTTCTCTGTGTTGAGTTTAAATAATTCATATTCTCTGAGGAAAAATATTTGAAGTAATTTAATGGACATAATTGAGTTTTTCCCTCCTCTCACAGAAGCAGGTCATTAGTCACTCTCTGCAGAGCAGTGTCTGATGTCTGGTCAAATATCAGAAAATAGTTTTTAAGGGTTGAAAGTTTTTTGTTTTTCTTAGAGCCTTGCATTAGCATAGCACTAAGTGAAGAAGTCTGAAAGATTTCTGATGAAAGCATCCAGGGCTGTGGACATTCTTAACAAGGACAAAATCCCTTGAGCTGCAGGCAGGTAAATACAGTGGGAGTTTGGGGATGTTCAGACAGCTGGGTAGTGGCACAGCACATCTGGCTGCACCGCCATGGTCCCCTGGTGGTGGGTCTGGGGAGCTCAGCAGGTGCAAGTTTGCTGGATCCTTCCTGCCTGTGAAACTTCTTGGCCACAGTCTCTGTCACAGCTCTTGTGGCCGTAAGAGGCTGATCCCTGAACTTGTTCAAAGACCACTTTGGGGACCAGGCACAGCCCAGGGGCTGTCCCCCATCCCACAGCAGGGTGGCTGGTGGTTCTCCAGGCTGTCTCTAGTGCCCATTCGCAGCTCCTGGTCCTCTCCCTTGCCCTTCAGTCTTCATTGAGGACTTTCTGGCTGTGCCTGCAGCACGGGATGTGCTGGTGTCTGAAATCACTCAAGACCATTTGAACCGATATCCCCGAAACCCTGATTCCAGTGCTGAACTCATCCTGCTTGGATCCTCACACTGAAATTAGGAGAGGTGAAAAAAGACTAAAAGGCTTTATGGCACTAATTACTGCTGCAAGAAGGCTGAGCTGCTCTGCTGGCCACCCCTCTGTGTAGACCCCTTCTCTGAGGGTCCTGCACGTGCCTGAGGGGCAGCCATGGGCTGCAGCCTCCAAGGGATCACTGGGGCCACGGTGCAAAGGCAGCAACCGCTGGGATGGAACTGGGCAGCCTGAGCAGCTGCATAATGTCTGCTCACAGATGAGAGGAGAGGTTCTGTCACTGTAAATACATTTAGACTGCTTTTCCTGTCTAATACGTATCTCCAGCCAGGTGCTGGGCTGCACTTACTCTGATCTCAAAACTGATTCCCAGCAGAGGCGTGGCAGACCAGCGAGAAGTCCTGCTGTGCTGTGGCTGCTCACCTGTCCATCCGTACTTTGTTTTCAGGAGACTTCTCAGCACTGATATCTTTTTACCCTTAATTTTACCAGACCTGTGCTGTGGCCCTGTTGTGCTGTTTACTTTGTGTTGCATTGCAATAGCTTTTGTGTAAATGAAACCATGATGTGGAGGATATGTCTGACATTTGCTATAAAATTGTCTCTTTCGGCTTCATCTTTTCCATCCAATGCCTTGTAATATCTGCAAGGAGAATTTCAACAAAGTCCAAGGTTAATATTTACCAGCCGGATTTGCTGCAAATGAGACAACTTCAACCAGACGTTGAATTAATATGATGGAGACCAGTTTCCAAAAATAGCTGTCAGCCACTCTTCTTTGACAGAAACGTAAATTTGTGCTGTAGCTAAGTTTCCTTCTTAATTTATTTCCCTCCACTCTGACAGCAGCAGTGCAGCTGGCTCTGTGTTGTGCCAGGGAAATGCCCCATGCCATGCTCTCCCCACAGCCCCTCCAGTGAAGGCACCAGTCCACGCCAATGAGAAAAGGGTGGTCTTTGCTAATGGTAACTGCTGGTGATGCAGCAGGTAATGCACATTGGACACTGAGCAGGAAGCAAGAAATGGCCTTTCTGACCTACTGTGGGGTTCCAAAGTGGTCTGCTGGAAAGTGAAGGACACTGAGCTGCAATTCTGCTCTGCTCATCAAGTTGGGTGCGTGAATAATGGCTGTAATTTCTTGATGAATCTAACACTGTGTGTAGTGTAATTACACTTTATGGCAGCTTATAGTCTTTGCTGTTAATGAGGAGATGAGACTTGTGACAGCACGGTCTGGATTCTGATGTGGCCTGTGTTGTTGCTGTTTTCCTAACCTGTTACCAGCCCCCCACAGTAAATCCTTGTGGAGCTGTGTCCTGGCTGGCACTCTGGGGTGCTGCAGTTCCCATGGGATTGGCACTGGTGGGTGCTCACCCTCCTCTCACAGCCTCTGGCCGTGCCTCTGCCACCTCTCCTGGCTCCTCCCTCTGCTCCTATCTAATGCACATCACCCTTGCAGTCACTTCAGCTCTTATCCTGGCCCTCTGAGCAGGGACAACTTCCCTTGTAGCAGATTGTGCCTTGCTACAGATATCTCAGGAAAGTCAATATTATCTTTCCTCTCCTTGGCTTCTTGAATAGTAGGGGAAGAAATGGGTAAGAAAAGCCTTTGAGAAGATCATCCTGCCTGTTGTGAGTAGCAGGTTTGTGGCAAAACTGCAGATGTAAATGCTGTGAAATAGGAGTAGATTCTTCATTGCTGCCAGACATTACCTGAACATAAACTTGGTCAATGTTTTGAGCAAATTTTAAAGGAAATATTTCTGCAAAAAAGAGGATTTGGATGAAGTCCTTGATTTTTATTTAAGGGCAGAGCTACAATAGAGGATGTGCTTGCTTTTTAAAAACCTCAGTCTTTCCATTTGTGTCCGGTTGTAGCACCTCTTCAAGTCCTTGCCTTCTGCTGCTGAGAATCTCAAGCTGAGTGTATGGAGAGAAATTAATCTGGTGCTGGGCTGGTGCCTCTGGAGGTGATGGTGTCTCTTCTTCTGCCAGTGAATTGCAGACATTGACTTCAAAAAAAGAAAAAAAATTCCCAAAGCAGTGGCCTGGCCCTGAGAGCTCCTGACACCATCTTTCTCTCCATGACAGCAAGCTGTGAGCGAGGCTTGTGTCCTTGTGAGCCTCCAGGGCTGCGTGGCTGCCTGGTGCAAACAGCTTGAGGTGGGAGTGGGACGTGGTGCTGGTGTGGTGCCTCCTGTGTGCTGCATGTGTCCCATCATGTCACTACAGTGTCCTTAGGTGGCACATGAATAGTCTAATTGAAAGTTGAAGAAATTTAGGACAATAAATAACAATATTTTGTCATTTAATGCAAAGATACCTCCTGAAGCCTAATGTCTGCTTTTCTCTTTAAATACAGAGAAGATGAATCCAAATATACAGCGCTTGGGGCTTTTGATTTGTTTCATCTTTAATACATTAGCTTACAAACCTGGATGTGCTTCTGGAGTTTATTTTATCTTCTGACTGATGCTTGAGCATTATGCATAATAAGTTTATTTTTTCTCCTGGGACTCCATAAGTTGCACAAAGCACCAGGTTTTCTTCCCCGGCTGATGCAGCCGGCGATGTCGCGCAGCCTGCGGGGCTGGGGTGCGGGTTCAGCCTGGCACAGCGGGGCAGGGGATGGGGTAAATCTGTGCCTGCTGCTGAGGGAATGTATGCTGCAGTGTCCTTCCTGGGTTATGGTTTGGCTTTCTCTGCCCGGGCATTGTGTCCTAGCAGGGCTGCCTGCAGCTCCTCTGTGCCATGGGCAGAGGGGCCGTCTGAGGCACAGGGAGCTCTGAACTTGGAGCATCTGTCTCTGTGTGGCCCTGGTGCCTTATGGTGGCTGCTGCTTCCCATCAGTCATGCACATGAAACACCCGTTTAAAATATGCTACCTCTTCAGTCTCTTTTTGGAGTAATGATCAAGCTTGGAGATATTTATTATTTGGGGACTGCATATTATACTGATGTTTTACAATGTGTCTGAAATAATTATGGCTATGGAAATTGTGGCAGAGGCAGACACAAATTACTCTATGACACTTAATTTTAGAGGAAACTACTCAGAAAATTACTAGCATCACAATTTGTTTGCAGGATTCCTGTCAGGTTTAAGGTCATAGATTCCTGCCTGCTGGATGGACGTGCTGGATGTTCTGTTGAAATACAGGGAAATGGGCCTTGCCCTCGTGAAGGGCATTTGTGCGAGATAAAGTGCTTGCCAGGAGCAGGGTGTGCTGGGCAGCCTGTCCTTCCCGGGCAGGAATTTGGTGGATACATAGGGAACAAGAAGAGACAACAGTAATTGCGGGTGGCTCAGGGGATGTGGCTGCTTCAGTGTGTCCTTGAGGAACGTTTCTGCAGAAATAGCACCGAGGTCCTGTTCAGTGCTGCTGCAGCACTGAATTCAAGCAGATGCATTCTCTTAGATATTTCAAGACTGTCTCACTAAATATTCTTGGGTATTTAATTTTCTTATGGACTAAATCACTGAATTTAATTTCAGCTATTAAGGGCTCGTTGGAGATACAACAAGGTCTAGCCTCTAGACATAGGTTTTCATTTCAGTGCTCTTCAAATTATTTAACAAGGGCAAAAATTAGAGTAGCGTTGTCCTCAAGGTTTCAGAGATGCTGGGAACATGTTGGACTGTGGGCTGCCAAAAAGTATTATTGAAAACCAGGTACTAAAAAGGTTGGTGAAAGGCAATCTGCCTTTGAATTCTCTTGGGTGGTGCAGCCTGAAGGACCTGTCCTGGCAGGCAGAAGGTACTGAGGTGAGAGGAGCTGGAGACCTGATCCAGCACTTGCATTGATTGCTCCCTCACCCTGACTTTGTCCCTCTTGTCCCTGCATGGAGATTGGACACGATTTATTTCCCTCCCTTGCAGTGAGGCTCGTAACGGCCTCGCTCTCTGCCTGCAAAGTATTGATTACAGTTTTTGCAATAAGACAAGGCAAGATTGCAAACCCAGCGTGTACGGGGAAGACGGGAGCCTCTCTATTACCCAGGGACATTTGTTGACAAGGCTCTTTCATTAGCTCAATACACCACTAAAACTTTCTTCTGCTGGTGTGTTTTGCATAAGGTGCCCTGTCTGGTTTTGGGCAGCCTGTCCTTGCCTGCAGTGCACCCTGGCAGTGTTCTTCAGGGTACCTGCTCTACACTGATCCCTCTGCTCCTCCATGAGGCTTGCAGCCCTGTCCCTCCAGCTGCACTGGCCTGGAGCACCTCTCCTCTGATGTGTTGATGAAGTGTTTGAAACATGATCAACTGTGACTTGCTTGGCTTGATAATGGCCTCAAGATAGATGGAGGCTGGATGTGCCAGCCTGGTCTGGGGGGTGGTCAGCAGTAGCAATAGCTCCTGAGAGAGAAGTGTTGAGAACAGCTTCATATTTTGTAAGAACTATTGTAACAGTGAGTTTGCAGAGACACGAGAAATGGATGTCGTTGCAGAGCGTGGCAGCCTGTGTCATGGGGACTGCAGGCTCTGACCCCTCAGTGCTGGGACGGGTGTGCACAGACCCTCTGTGTGTCCAAGGTTGCATTAATCCCAGGAGCAGAGACCTCTGCTCTCTGTGCTCTGGGGTACAGCTGTGCCCCTCGGTGCTGGCTGCTGGTTGCCTCTGGATGCGGTCTTTCCTGGATAGTGTTTTTATGAATGCCTCCTTCAGCAGAGAAAATTTACACACAGTAGAAGCAGATGAACTTTGTCAAATACAATTTGAAGACAAAAAATGAAAAGGAATTGATTTTGGACTACAACCAAGTTGTAGTGTTAATTATAAATGACTGTATAGGCGTTTGGGTGAAGCTGCAGGCGTTATTGATTCGTGCCTGCACCCACGTGCCTCTTCCACTCTCTGCAGAAGTTCACAACGTGGAGAAGTCCAATAGTGCTCACGCAGGCAGCATCCTTCATGGGCTTTTGTGTTCTTTGAACATACTGCAAGGTTTGTGGGTCAACAGGCTAAGCTGAGAGAGTTTGGAGAGAGAGAGAAAAAAAAGCAGAACCCATCAAAAGCATGAAGACTAAATGCTGAGGAGGCTGTAAACACACCAACGAGCTCCAGTATGAAGAAAATTATTCCAGACAGCAAGGAGGGGTAAGCGTGGCTACGAGGGCGTTGCTGGAGCTCACTGCTGAGACAGCAAAAGCCTTCCACAGCCAGTGAGGGGTTCATCCTGGAATAGGATTCAGTTTTTGCTCTCATTTGGTTAAAAGCCAATAACTTTATTTGTATCTGTGGAAACCAACAGGCAGAGCATTTGCAGAAGAAAGCTGTGAATCCTTACAGGTCAACTTCTGCCTTTGGCTGTGTAGTCTGTGTGCTGGCAGGACCTCCAGAGACCCCAGTCCTGTTCTTGGTCTTATTTGTCTTGTGTGACTGTTCAAATTGAGCAGTTGTTCCATTTTCCTGTTTGTCACTTGGCTAGTGTTTCCATACTTCAAAAAGAAAACAAAGGTTAACTTAGGTGTTCAAGGTACAGTTGCAGTGATGGGTGTAAGTGCACACATAAAAGGCTGCTGACCTGCTGGTAAATACGACCAGGGTGATTAATAACTTCATTCTACTGCTGCATGCAAAATTTGGCAAAATCTTCACTTGAACAACAACTGCGATCAACCCTGGAGCTTACACAGCCTGTGTCCTGCAGGCAGGTTGTCCTATGTGATGTACTTAGAGAGTCACTTTTAATCACTGTTCATCCATTAACAAGATCAAGCTGCTCAAACTCTGACGCCCTTTTGCCGATTAATCAGGATCTCTTCTGCAGTTTTTTAAGCCAAAACGTGAACATGCAGCTAACTGTAGCTTAGCAAATGTTGAGATCCCTGGTGGTGAAGGAGCAGTTCCATCATCCTTGGAGCTGTGACTCTGAGTCTCTGGCCAAAAGGAAAGAGTCACTGGCGGAAAAATCTAGTTGGCAGCTTCATGGTACTATGAGATGGAGATGTCTGAACTGCTGGGGAGGAGAAATTAAAGCTGTTCCATGCCAGCTGAGTAGGAAATCATGCGTCGTTCAACTCTGCATCCTCAATTGCTCCTACTCTCCCTATGACACAGACTGGGCGTGAGAGGATGTTGTCCTCCCCTGGATAGAGCCATCCACTTGTCCAAGGAGCTGCAGCAGATGAGTCTGTAAGAGAAACCCTTCCCATGGGACATCGTGCCGGGTGATCTGCCAGGCTGCAGCACAAACCAGTGTTTCTTATTCTGCTGCGTGTTAGATTGTGTGTGCACAGTGTTGTATCACGGAGGGAACACGTGCTCTCTCTGTCAGTGGAATGGATAAGGTGTGCCTGGTGAGCAGGGAGTAGCTTGTGTGGCAGCAGTGGTGGAGCTGGAGAGAGGCCATGAATCTGTCTGACCATCCAGCTGCTTCTCTTTGGCTCTAGGATGATGTATTATTAAATTTTATTATTTCATATTTAAGTAGCAGTAGTACCAGAGGACAAGGGCTAGGATAGAAAATAGTGTACCAAAAAAAAGGTAATTTCATTCTGTAAATTGAGAGCTGTCAGATACCCAGAGCAAAAATGAACACTGCGAAGTTACAGGGACACCTAAACCAGCTGGGGACCAAGAAAAACACTGGTAGGATGAGGTGATGGAGGGTGGGAGTTTATCTGAGAAAAGAAATGGAGATACACACATGATGCATTGCATGTGCTGGGGTGCTTTTGTTCTTCTCAAGTGTAAGATTCAGACAAGCAAGAAACAAAATGAAGAAGTAAGCCCAGGGGCTGAGCTGTGCCTGGCACCTCCTGGTGCTCCCAAAGGTCCTGGTGCCTGTGTCCTGGGAAATGCTAAGAGAGGCTTTTCATATGGTTATTAACCACGTATACCTTCCAACAGGCACTTTGGTAAACTATTAGAAAAAAGGGAGGAACAGCATGAAAGATGGTTCTCATTGAAATTGTTCAATTTCCTACAGTGAGTTGTCAAATGTGTGTAACTGCCAGGCTTGTCTTTACCTCCGAGGAGCGGCGGCTGCACACCTGGGGTTTAGTGCTTGGGTCCCGTTGAGTTTGTAAACAAGATTGATTTTTCTGCTCTGCCTGACAGAGGGTGAGAACAGGATCTCATGCCCGTATTCAGGCTGTTAAGTAAGAAAAGCCAAAATCCCTGAGGTGTTGCTGCTCTTGGCTCTGCTGGGCTGCTGCCTGTTGGATGGAGGGACACAGACCTCAGCCATCGTGCTGCCGTCCCTCCGGTCGGTGCCTGCAGGGCACCGGGTTCCTCAGGGCCTTGTGGCAGGTGAAATAACCTCCACTCAAAAGCTCAGCCATTCTCAGCATCCCAGGGAAGGATTCTCTCCGCCCTGTGCTGTGTCTAGTGCTTTGTCCTCAGGTTACAGCCGTAGCTGCCAGTTTTATATCATGCTAAAAATTAATGAACCAGAGTGCACTGGAATAATGTGCTTTAAAAGGAATGGTCTCAGCAGCCAGCTCCTTAAAAATTATAAGAGAGGAGACTGTGTTAGTGGAGCTGTTCATCTAGGAACTTTACAAGTGATTAAGTTTAAATATTCAGGGAGCTGATGAAGGGACAGCAGACAGCAGCACCACATCAAGAAGATGAAGCAGCAATACATGAGTGCTTCTGTTTGGCTTGAAATCCAGCTGAGACCAAGTCCTGCTCCTCGGGCTGGCCCTGCTGTGGTCACCCCTCAGTGCAGAGGGGCTGCCATCCCAAGGGGACTGTGGCTGGCGAAAGATGTCCCAGGAAACAGGGAAATGCAGTCATAAAACATGTCCCCCATTCACTTCGGGGTCTTCTTCCCACAACTCCTTCTTTATCTTTTCAGCTTGCCTTCCTGGATTTTACAAGCTCTCCCTGAGTCTCCCTCTCTGCTCTCCTTGCCCTGAGCACAGCTTCACGCATGAGGAAGCCTCCACGTTCTGTTCCTGCCAGAAGAACTACTCCAGGTCCCCGTCGGACCCACCATCTGCCTCCTGCACGCGTACGTCTCGCTGACATGGCGGCACTTGGCGAGGGGAGGGGGATCCCGAGGCCACGTCTGCCCTGCCGTGCCAGGTCCCCAGGAGGCTCCCAGGGTGTCCTCATGCTGTGCCACCCCCGGGACCGCGCCTGGCGCGTGGGGGTCACGT